GGATAATATTTGCCATCTATGTTTATATGATATTTAATACCAGGGTTGTAGAAACAAGAATAGTCATTTATAGTTCGTCTGAACAGTACAAACATAGTATCTGCATGTTTCATTGCAGTTGTTAAGGCAATATCTGTTCTTGCACCTGGGTCAGCACTTTGGTTTCCAACTTCACCTGCAAAGTCTTTGACAGATATTTGGTGTATAGGGAACATAAGTGGAACTGCAATATATTTGGCAGCTAAAGCATTTGAAATATCTGGGTCCAACATATAGACTGCAAGTCTGCTTTCTATTCTCTTGCATTCAAATTTTTCGCATGTGAACTTAACTGGGTCCCATACGTTTGCACCACCATTATCCTTCATATAGTAGTTTACTTCATTGTTGAAGTTTGAGAAACCAAAGTCTAAGTCAACTTTGTTTTTGCAAAAGGCAGCGAATGTTTCCTGAGCTGTTGCTTTGGCTTCAATAGTGAATGGGTCTTGTGTTGGTGCAATGACTAAGTTATTTTTGCTTGGAGTAAGTTCGATAGAAATTTTTCATGCCCAGTTTGGCAAGTATCTTAAAAACCTGAAGATGAGGAAAGATGACAAGGAACTCTAAGTTTCAGTTTTACTTTAGTGGCAGCAGTTCCATCTGAACCAGAAAGGTTAACATAAACTCCTGGAACGTTAGGGTCAAGTCTTCTTATTTTCTCAATAGTTGCATACTGGTCTGTTTGTTCTCTAGCTTGTGGTTGTACTGAGTTTCTCAAAGCGAACCATTCATAGTTTGCCCATGTTACTGTTTGAACTAAGTCAGAGTTAGAATATATCTTATATCCCATAAAAACTTCTGGAGCATATTGGTATCCGACATAGAAAATTCCATTGCAACCTTTCTTGTCAGACAACTTGGCAGAAGGTTTTATTTCAATGTCTTGTTCCACGTATAAGAATGAGTTGTCAATAGAAATAATATGAAACCTGTCGCAAGCAATATCTACTGTTGTTGAAGAACCTTCTCCAAACTCACCTACGTTTCCATAAGAAACAGCAGTTGTATATTCGTAAGTTCCAGGAACTATTTCTGACCTTCTAATGGCATTGTCGCATTCGTTATACCATTCGGAAACATTTCCGTTCATGGCATCCAAAACTGTTGGCGTAATATTCTGAGCGGCGTACATTTCATATGGGTAAAAATATAGAATAGTTGGATTTATATGTCATAATAGAACCCACTCGGACCAAGCTTTACTTTCTTCCTGGCTGAGTTTTTAACTCTTCTTTTTCCTTCATTGCCACTACTTTCACTAGATGAAGTTACTTCTTCACTACTTTCACTTTGTTCTACTCTTCTCTTCTTCTTTGGTGTCGCTTTTGGTAACTTGCCCTCTGCTTCAAGTTGTTGCATCTTTGCCTCATGTTCACCTAGTATGTTGTAAATTTCCCATGTCCTTTTTGCCTTTGGGCTCTGGTCGCCCATCTCAGGTAACCAATATCCTAGAAAGATTTTGTCATAGTTTGTATTTGAGTCGTCGCTTATTGTTTGCATGACTCTTTCCTGAGTTTCCGGTTCAAGCTCTTCAAATATAGCTTGTCCATATGGAATAAGCTCGTTTCCAAATATATGTTTTTGTAGCCATTCTGGTTTTCTTTCCATGTTACCAATAATATCTTTTGTGAATGGGAAAGCTTTTACCCAACGTTTCAGTCTTGCGTCATTTATTTCTGTAGTTGGTTTTATTTTGTCATGGAACATGTTTTTCAATACTAACATTTCATTTGGTACTGTCCATTTGAGTTTTCTTAAATATTCATCCCTTCTCGGTTCATTGTCTGCAAAGTAAGTTTTTATGACATTTTGCAAACATTCGTTTGCAAGGTCATGTACAATAGGTTCTCTTCCTTCTCTTCCCTAACTCTCTTTCTAAACTCTTCACCAAATATACCATCTCTATGGTTCTGTGTAGTTCTTTGAGATAAATGTTCTAGAACGTCAGGTGTTATATTTCCCTCAGCCATGTTCATTTCATACTGGTCCAAAATATCTGCATCTTTCATATCTTTCAATGGCATTAAAGCCGCGCTGAAAATACCAGCTATATCTGGTTCACCATTCACTTCCATTGCGTCTACAACTTCTTGGAATTGAGGTTGTAAGTTTATGAACCACCTATCCTGATTAGCTTTATGACCTCATCTCATTGTAGTTCCATAGTCTGCAGAAACAAAAGTAGGTTTGTTTCCATATTGGTTAGGTTCTGAATGAACTTTAAACAATGTTTCATTTCTATATGTTTTGTTGAAATTTAACCTTTTATTTTCACCGAGTTCAGCCAAAGATTGAACGTTATATGGTCGTAAGTAAAAAGGATTATTGTATTTGCGTACATTATCTTTCAGTACTTCCATTCTATGCTGAATATTTTCATCTGATGTTGGAGTCTTTTGTATGTCGGTAAACATTTTTCGATATTCTTCTACTATGTCAGCCGAATTTTGCTTAGACTCTTGGAAAGATTCCATATTCTCCTCATACACTTGTTGAGGGTCAAGATTTTTCGGCTGTTCCAAATCTTCATCTAGTTCTGTGAAGTTAGTTTCCAAAGGAGGGACTTGTTCGTTTCCTTCAGGCTCTTCTAGCTGTTGTTGCTGAACTATTTCTTCCGTGTCTGGTTGTATCTGAACTTCTTCCTGTGGAGTTTCTTGTACCTCATCTGCTGGCATTTCATATATTCCGAGACCGTTTTTAACAAGTTCCCTCTCTAAGTCATCCGGACTCATAAACCTTTCTTTTTCCGTTCCGTCTCTATTTTTTACGCGTTTCATGAAGAGAGTTGAATTATCATTTAGCTCTGACATCAAATATCTCGGAGTAAATTCATCCATGTCATTTGGATGATATGCTATTAAATCATATCCCTTAGCGAGCTTGTATTTTCCAGGTTTGAGATTATATCCGATTTGATGCTGAACCATAAAGCTAAATAGGTTCGGGTCAGTATTTCCTTCCTTGAACTTTCTAATAGCTTCTTTATATCTGTCACTAAAGTCAAGAGTATCTGGGTAACCATAATCTTCCTTAAGCATTTTTAAGAATTCTTGGTTTCCTTTTTCTCTACTTCTTTTATGTCTTTGCTCTGTTTGTGGTTGCTGTGCTGGTTGTGGAGGTGGTTGTTGTGTTGGTTGTTGTTGTGGTGCTGGATTTTGAACTGTTGGTTGCTGTGTTGGTTGTTGTTGTGGTGCTGGATTTTGAACTGTTGGTTGTTGTGTTGGTTTTGGTGCATGCCTGTGTCTGTGTCCATGTGACGATGTAAATGTTTTAGGTAGTCCTGGTGCAGGTGCTTCTCTTGGAGGGTTTGGTGGTATATAAGTTCCACCAGCTGGCACATATGTTCCATCTGCAGCATAATGTCCTACTTGACTTTTCGTTTTTAAGAAAGCATTTACTAGGTCTGTTTTGGTCTGTTGTAACTCTTTTTCTTGACTTTCCACAACAGTGCTCTAACGGCGTCATAGGCACTTTGAACTGCCTGTCTCGTTGCTGCATCTGTTATTTTCGTCATATTTTGTGCTACTTCTCTTAACTCTTTGTCGAAACCTTCAGACTTCAGTTTCTTTCCAGATGAGAAGTCGTTCACTAGTTTCACCTTACTATGAAGAGCTTCGAAGGCATTCTTAAAGTCAGCATTCATTAAAGCTTCATTTGAACTGTCTTCATCCGCTTGTATTTTTGTCCTTATTGACCCTATAAGTTGGGCTGCTTTGGCGTTGGCTTGGGCATCTAACCAGTCATTATTAGCTTTTATATATTCTGCGCTTTTCATTGCCTTTTGCATGGCTGCGTCGTTATTTTTACTTTCTTGTGCTAAGTTTTCATACTGTACGGTTTGGTTTTGCAACTGTAAAAGTTTTTCTGCCTTTACATTTGCTTCAACTTCTTTTTTATACTCATCGCTATCCATATATGTCTTCATGGCTTTTTGTTTTATCTCTTCATCTTTCAGTACTTTATATTGAGTAGTATGGTTTTTCAAATTTATAACATCTTGTTCCATTTTTGCTACTTCTGCTGCTTTTTCTGACACTTTTTTCGCATATTCCTCTGTACTTAGTTCTTTCAGTTGTTCTTCTTTCTTCTTTTTCTCTACGTTTAACTCATTGAGTTTCTTTGTGTGTCTGTCATATTCTAGTTTCTTTTCATTTTCATTTATTTGTTTCTGTATGTCTATGTTTGACTTTTTGACATCTGTTATTTGATTTTTGAGTGAACTCAAATTCATTTGACTTTGAGGGTTATAAGCTGTTCCGTCTGCAGCTCCACCATAGCCTGCCATTTTCGCTAAAAGTGCCGCTCTTAAACCTCCACTCTGTGCACCAATAACTCGGTTTAAAAGCATAGGGTTGCTTGACATTTGTTGCAACATAGTGGGGTCATTCATCATTTGTTGTTGCAACTGTTGTTGTGGTGTCAGTTTTACTATTGGATGTTTCAATGCTCCCTTCCTCTTACGTATATTCTTACGTAGCTTACGTGGCATTTTAAGTGAAGTTAAAAAGCGGTTTTTGACAGATGTTTATATGACACTTTTTGTTCAGCTCAAAAAACTACTTGGTCAAAGTGTTGTCGGTTTTGTAAAATATTTGTTATATTGTTCTATAATATTTTTTTAAAGTACTCAAATATATACTTTAGAAAAGTGGGTCTATCTCTATGAGCGTTGACGATAGACCATTATTTGTTCGAACAAATATATACTATCGTATGTTAAAAATATTTTGACAAGTGTAATGTTCGTGTAAAGTCCATCCAGTCAAAAGTTTGTCCGATGGTGAAAAATATGTATTTAAAAGTCAAAATGTGAAGTTATCTTCTCAAATATTTGAGATGGAACGGTTTGCCAACGGAGACTTTTCAATAAAATAAAATTATAGATGGGGTCTCCGTTGACGAAAACGGTTTATTTCAAACTTTTCTATGAGTGGTCCGAAAAAAACAGTTCATTTTTCATAATGGAAGGAAGAACAAGTGTCGCAAACAATTCGTCGACTACCTCTGCAGTTAAAGTTCCTACAACTTATGTCTCACCATTCTCAAAACCCTTACGACCTCCTATAATACCAAAGCAACTTCCTCATACAATTGCAAACAAATTGTCCAACAATTTGAGTTCTTCTTCTCAAAACACAACAGAAACAACTCAGCCAACAGGTCAGGCAACAACAACTATCGGAACAGAAGCATTTTCAGAAGAAGTTCATACCAATCAGACTCCAATCGAACATACAGAAACACAACCACCCGAAAATACAGAAACACATCCAATCGAACATACAGAAACACATTCTGCAATGACCACTAGGTCGCAAACACGATATATCGCCTTTAGCAAACAATTTAAGTCTCAAATTCAAGACACACAAGATAGAGACACTCCTCTTTCAGAGAAAGTTCGTAGAAAATACGCAAAGAAAAGGTTCGAATTGTTAGATAAGTTAAATGAACAGTGGGGTTCAGAAGACAATCGAGATTATAACGAGATGTTTCAAGCTGTCATGGATGCCATTCAGCCTTTTGAAAACGAAATCAAAGACCCTGGCGTACTTGTTGACATGTTTGCTTCATATTTACCTGTTACTGCCAATCTCATAGCGTTGCAAGCTATTGACCAGTTCATTCACTTGTTTCCAAAGAACTTGCAGAAGCATTTACAAGAAGTTAAAATTGCTGAATTTGTCCGTATATATCCAAATTCATACAATTATTTGGAAGAATTGAATGAACATGGTGAAAGGTCATTCTATTTATATTTCTACACAAAAGACAACCAGTCAAAACGACTATACTGCATTGAACCTATGCCTCAATTCTTAGACAATTTCCACGTTATAACAACTGTTGCTTTAGATATTCCTGCCAGAGTTCCATATGGAGGAACAGTAACCATCTCAAGCTTTCCCAAGGACTATAAAGGAAAGCCTCTCACAATTGCAAAATTCACACACAGCAGTTGCCAATTTGTTCAAGATGTCGAGTTCCATTTCCTCAACAATACGACTTTCATCATAGAGACTCCTCAAGAAGGTATATACAAAGTTTTCATCGCAGGATTTGTTGCTCCCAATGGCGAAGAAGAAGTCGAAGAAATCCTCACCTCAGAGAGCGAAGAAGAAGAAAATTTCCAAGACATTCAAGATTCAGAATATACCGAATAAAAAAAACAATTTAAGACTAAAAATTTAATTTTATTATAATATTTTTATTTTTTTCATCTGGTCTTTGTATCATTCCTCCTCTAGTTTCTCCGGGGCTAGAAGGGGCGCAGCCCCTGGAAGCCCCACGCACCTGACCTATATCCAAAATAAAAAAAAATTAATTTCATGTCCGCAAGACTTCAACTAGAAAAATAAATACATTATATTATAACAAATCTATATCAAGCATTAAAAAATCATACTTCATTGCATTCAATTTGTCTGGCAAATGATGTCAGAAGTTCTCAAAATTGTGAGAATCATAATTAATTTACCATCTACGTTAATTGAACATTTCATTTGTACAGATTGTAATATTACGAGTATCGCGCCATAAAAGAGGCTTTTCTTTGTATGTTTTATAAAAGCAATCCCAAAGTTTGTATGGAGCTTGCGTTCTGTTGCATTTTTGGTTATATGGTTTACACTTCGCACGATAGAAATGAAAGATTTTGGTGTTATTCCCAAACTTTCTGAAATCAAATTCGTTATATTTTTGAGGGAAAACTATTCTTGAGTCTATAAACATTTTGTTTAATACTCTTTGATCATTGTACCAACGGCCCATGTGTCCATTGAGCCATTTCAAGTATTCAATGGATTTATTCAGAATATTATCATTTATGTACTTAAAATTATTGAATACCATAACACCGGCGTTAAAGTAATTTTTGAATCCTTCAAATCTTCTTGCAAAATCAAAAACTACGATTGCAGATTGGTTGTTGAAATCATGGAAGTACATATCTTTAATATCTTGTACTACAATTGCATCTCCATCTAATTGTAAGAATCTTTCCATTTCAGGATGCGCATTAGGAAAAACAATTCGAATATAAGTGTCGTACCCAACTATCCATATTCTTTTAGTCAAGTACCGTGTTTGGTATGTTTCGAAATAGAATTTTGTATTAAGGATTGGGCGTTCTGCAAAATGAGTTTTATATTTTGGTAATAAATCTGCATTGACAGTTGTAATATAAAAGGAAATATGTTGATCTGGATGTGCATTGACTACGGCGTATATAGCTGGTCCAAGATTGAAAAGGTCTCCTGACCATGACAATAAAACATTCATGTTACTGTGGAATTCTCCATTATACGTGATACCGCCAATAGTTGAAAACAAAACGATGATAAATACTGATTCAATGACTAATATATATATGGAAGATTTTTGAAATATAAAACCAAAACTCATTTAACCCTTGACGTCAAATTTTTGTGGCTCGCCAAGCTCTGTTTTAGCTTGATTTTCATAACACAATAAGATCTCTATATTGATATGTTATCTCGAAATCAAATGAAAGTCATGTTTCATATTCATTTTTACTATTCTTTAAATTCTGAGTATAATGAACTTCGTTTTTGTCGATGTCTTTTTATATCTCACCCTGTATCTTTTCTTTTTAGTAACTCAAACATGGTATAATCCTCTGTTGTCATATGTGTGTCAAAAAAGTGTTTGCTATAAAAGGGAAAGTACCGACAAATAACCGTTTTTCGCTGTCAGATTGATTTTTTATCAAAATATTGTGTATGCTATTTATTTGGAACTACAATAGCGAAAGTAAAATATATTGATATTGCCTGTTGAAATGATAAAGTAAATAGCATGAATATTCCTGAGATAATCATAAATATAAAAAACGATAATTGGTGTTTGGTCGGACGATAACCTTAAAAGATATGAGTTATGCTCTGGTTAAATTATGGACAAATTTTGGATCAATAACATTTTTATCCTTGCTATGTATATTCTTTTCAGTCATTTTTGGTACTTCAATAATTGAAACAAGCGGATATTCACAAGTTATTGGCCCTGGATTATCAAATCTTAAACCTGATCGAGAATTAAGTAAAGACAAATACTCAATCATATACCTAAGTAGTTTCCGTCGAATTCCAATTCTATCTAAAATATTAAACTCACTTTTAAAGCAAGAATCTAAGCATTGCGAAAAAATTTACATATATTGGAACGATTTCAAGCATTCAATACCGGCTCCTAATTTAACTGCATATAACATTTCAAACTCTACAGTTCCTATTGAAATAATTGATACTGAAATGAGAGAACTTGTTGCTCGATTTTTAATACCCCAAAACCTCGAGACTCAGACCATATGCAATATTGATGATGATATTTTCGTTAATTTTACAGCTTTAGACACTGCTTTTGAAGAATTTAAACGTAGAGGCTTTCCATTGTCAGTTTTCGGAAATTACGCAACTCTTTGGAGAAAAGGAAAGTATAGCTGGAAGAGAGGCCGTGATTTCAACATTGTTCTTACTGGACTTTCCTTTATAAACGTAGATTTGTTTGAAATCTATCATTCATATAAATATAAAAGCGTAATAGACTATTCGGCTGAGAAAAACAATTGTGAAGACTTCATCATGAACTACGTAGCGTATGACGCTTTCGGGAATCGCCCTATCTATTATAATATAAAGCACCACCTTCAAAATACAATTGGGCTGTCAAGAAGGCCTTCAAACAGCAAAGCAAGAGTAGAATGCTTGAAGTTCCTCGATAAATCTTTCGATTTCGTTGAAATCACCAGAAATACTTCAGTTCCAATTCAAAAATAATTATCTCATCAAAAAAATGGCACCTTTAGAAATTTATATATGTATTTGCCTGATATAAAAACCTATCATTTATACGCTTTTGTTATTATCTCATAGTATTTAAATGACATAAGGTTATGTTAGTTGCGAGTATCTAGATATGAATGTTGTTAATAAAACATACATATAAAAGCAAAGGATCCCTTATTCACAGGGATTCATTTCTATGACATGTATGTCCTTGCAGTGTTATTATATATAACTCAACATTCATTGATGTATACATAGCACGATGGAGGTGAAATATATTGCCACGTTGGGGTCCTATAGCTCCAATGAGGAGCTTCACTCTAAGAGATGACGATTAAATTGAATTTTGGTAAAAAAATCGAATTTATTGAGTGACTTTCTTCAACATAATCGACAATCTCACAATGAAATATGATATTCAAATTGTGTTCGATATATATTTATAATAAAATTGAAAATCAATTTTTTAATGGTGGATTTGAATAATCACCGCTTTAGTTTACAACTATTCAATTTTCTGCACTTCGAGGTCTTTTTTCTCTTGATAGAATAGATATCATTCTGCATAAGCATGGCTATAACATGACCATATCATTATCTACCTATCTGTCGTTTCAGATATCAAAAAGAAGAGATTTGATCAAAACCTTAAACATTGGAGTTTTCACTGAGAGCCCGCTGATCAAGATTTTCAAAATTGGCCCATCCGATGTTCATTTTTTATTGAAATAAGGTCAGGTGAGTGGGGCTTCCAGGCGCGTTGCGCCCTCTAGCCCCTAAGAAATTTTGCCCAAGACCCAAGAGGAGGACCGAACCCCAGCCGACCAGCCGGTGACAAAACCAAAACCGTTGTTATTTACATCATATTAATGGTGTCATTTTTATATCACTTTTAATATGTCACTTTTGTGTCACTTTTCACAAATTATATATGTTTTCATATTTTGTCACTTTTCTGTCACTTTTCGGGTAAAAACATTTTTATTATTATATATAAATGAATTTTACAAAACCGCTGTTACCGTTCTTTGGAAATAAGAGTAGATGTAAAGATATTATATTGAGAGAACTTAAGAAACTACCGAATGGTCTAACATTTGTAGATTTGTTCGGTGGAAGTTTCTATATATCCCATTTGTGCCATACAATATTCCCAGACTCAAAGATTATATGCAATGACT